TTTAGATTTCTGTATTTTTACATATTCCTTTGATAATTAGTAAAAAAAATATAAAACAAACAAATTTTGCTAAAAACCTATCATAAAAAAAATACAAAATAACAAATCATGTTAACTGATTTTGATGAAAGCTAATCTTAACACGATCATACGACAAAAAAATTGGATCAAATTAATGAAGAATGGTCCCATGATTCACGGTTTTGCAGAAAACCCAAACCCGCTCAAAAAAACAGAAAATCACACTTAAAAAAAATGGTAAAAAAAAATACAAGACAAAAAATCACATAACTTGATTTAGATGACAGCTAGTATTAACATGATCATTTAGCAAAAGCATTGGATTAAAGAAATGGAAATGGTCACTAGATTCTCGAATTTGCCGAAAACCCTAACCCACTCAAAAAAACTGTAAATCTCGCTCAGAAAGAACAAATTGCTCAAAAAATAGTGTAATGACTTGCTATATTTACTGTAGCGACTCACTGTTTTACTGAATTGGCACAGTATGACCGATTCCCGGGTTGAACTGGGAGATTCAGTGCCGACTCGCCGCTGTTGTATTGAATTGGCACAGTATGATCGATTCTCGGGTTAAACTGGGAGATTCCGAGCCGACTCGCTGTTTTTTTAAATAGCTGATCAAGATAATCTATTACAAGATGTACTATTCTTGGGACTCGAAATTTTGTTTTTTTATATGCATGTGTCTTGATATGGATATGATCAATTAGAGGGTTTTTAAACAACAAAACTGCTTCCGATAGTATTTTTTTATTTGAAGTGCACCTTAATTCTACAATTTAAGGTTGAACTTTATATAATTTTTTCTTAATCAAAATGTTCCCTCTAAAATCTACTCTCTCACTCATGTAGCGTCTCTCTCTCTCTTAATGGAATCACGTACAACATTTGATCATCTCTGCACCTTTATTTCATTCATCAATTATTTTTCATCTTACTATTTCTCTTTCTACTCTTTGATTTGGGAATCACGTAGAACATTTGATGACATCTACAACCATTATTTCCTTGATCAGTACGTTTTTCTTCCTTTGTTATTTACTTGTCATTTTGTATTGTGTTTTTCTCCCCAACTTTTTAGAGTTCCTTCTTTCTTCTTAATGTGCCTTCATTCTTTGTTTTTGGGAAATAATTAGCGGTTTTGGAATGTGAAAAAAGAATATTATTCCTCATAGCGAATCATGACATTCTTTTTTTTTTCCGAGTAATTATGTAGGGGAGTCTGTGGGGAAGATAGGACCCATCCGTTTTTTCAAGTAGAAGATTTAGAGTAGGGATTTTGAAAGTATTTGTGGGTTTATTTTCAAGTTTCTGATTTGGGAATCATGTAGAATATTTGACCACATCTGCAACCATTATTTCCTCGATCAATTTGTTTTTCTTCCTTTGTTATTTACTGGTCATTTTGTATTGCGTTTTTCTCCTCAAATTTTTAGAGTTGCTTCTTTCTTATGTATGCGCAATCATTTTTTTTTGGGTAGATCAGTGAGGAATACCGGCCCCAACCCGTTTCTAGAAATAATGAACGATTTTCAAATGCATCAGTGGGAATGAAAACCTAGACCGGTAGCCGAGGCACTAGTGGCACTACTACCATGACCTCAACCCCATTCTCTGTGTGAAATTAGTCTACTAGCACCATATCAAACTTTGAGCATTTGTTCACCGCCCACCTTCAATGGTGAAAGTAAAACGGCTCCTCCAAAATGGAAGAAAAATATTATTCCTCGTAGCGAATCATGACACTTCTTTTTTTATTTTATTTTTGAGTAATTTTGTGGGGGAGTTATTATGTGGAGAAGACAGGTCCCACTCATTTTTTTAAGTAGATTAGAAGTATAAGCTTTTTTAAAGTGTTAGTGGAGTGGTGTTAATAATGGAAATGGAAACTGCAACTTGGTGACCAAGATATAGGGTACTACCATCACGATCTCAACCCATTTCCTAACAAATCATGACCCCCCATGTTCATTTCACCCCTCTCGACTGTTTTTTTGTTTTTTCCTTCTTTTTTTTTATTTTTTTATTTTTTTCTTATTTTTTAATTGAAGGATTGCTTTTAATGGAAGGATTGTTTTCATAGAAGGATTTTTTTGTTTATTTGAAGGATTGCTTTTAGGGTGCAATTTCCATATGGACGCCCCAGTAGGTGTAGAGGTACGGTGCCCTTCAAATTTTATCATGATATATAATTTTAATGTAAAATGTTATTAGGATTATCTCAAAATCTATTTTTATATGCAATTATAAAATTTTAAAATTTTAAAATTTTAAAAATTCAAAAATGATTAAAATCAAGTAGATCTATATACAAATGAAAATCTTGAAAATGGACGTTGTAAATAATATGTTATATAATGATAATGATGGACATAATTTAGTCAATTTAAATGTTTAAAATATTTTTTATAATTTTTATATGGTGCGTGATGGTGTCAAGTATAAAAGAAGATTAAAAATCAAATAGTAACATATATTTTTAACTATCAGATTAGGATCATGGCTGAGAGCATAACCTAGATTATTTTAGTGATAAGGTACGCAAGCATAAGTATTTTTAAATATGTTTATATAATATAATTTTAATATATGTACAAATTAATGACCCAATATTCGTTAAAAAAAAAATAACTAAATAAAAAATAAGGACACTAAACATTTGACTTTGACTTTAGAAAAGACAAGACCAGCTGGTGAAGAGAGAGAGTGTGAGTTCGTAAGATGGGAAAGGTTTATATATTTTTTCTATCGCATAGAAGATCTATGCTTCTCCTACCACCCAGCAGTTCAATTTTGATCAAGAGAGCCACTCACCGTTTGATCTTAGATCTGACTTCTCAAACTATTTTATTTTTAGTTTTTTTATACAAATTATATGAATATGAAATTTGGTAAGTGCCATATTCTCATTGGGGTGCACCTAGAAAAAATATTAAAAATATATTTTTGATAAAATATAATGATCAAAATACCTTTTGAAACTTTACGAGAAACAACATTACGAAGAATATGAATGATGAATCGCCTAAATATTTTGGACTTGATTAAAAAGAAAAGTTCCCATCTCATAAAAAATTAACATGCCATTTTATTTTATTGGTTTATTGGAGAGTAGGGATGTATGTAATTATTTGGAAAGTGGTGGATGATGGGCTGCTTAGCTTCCTAAAATTCTTGATTAATTTGGAGGGCTAGGGCTGCAAATATTAGACGCAGTCTGGGGTAGAAATGGAAGTTCCTCTTTCCTTTATGATCGACCAAGAAAATAATTAAAATATGGAATATTCATTGAATAAATAATTCTCCCAGTTTCTAAACATCCCTCGTCATGAATTGGCAGCAAAGGGTCGGAAACGGGAGGCAGTTGACGGGAAATGGCGTGGAGGTTCCGATTGTTGCGTATAAATACAAGACGCCAACCCCTCCCCTTCTCTCACCTACCTCTCTTCTCTTCTTCTTCTCTTCTTCTCTCTCTCTCTCTCTCTCTCTCTGTCTGTCTCTGTCTCTCTCTCTCTCTCTCGTCGTACGT